AAATATTAGATCACTATTGCAATGCTTTTTAATACTTTTTATATGAAGTGGGCATATAAAGTACATTTGAGCAGAATTGTTTTGTCGAATAGAAAATTTGTTTGGATTCTGTATTAAATATGTCTTTGTAAGAAAGAAGAACCAATTGTCTATGGATTATTATTCAAGGTGATTATAGGTTAACTGTTCTTTGACAAGGAAGGTCAGAATAAATAGGATATTTATCAATGTAAGTTTTTTCTTTAGTTCTTGTATTATTCTTTATTTCATATTTTATTCTGATATATGTATAAGTACGTGCGTGTGTGTTTCTTTCCTTATTGACAAACAAAGAAGAAAGAAGAAAGAACAGAGGCCTTCGTTCTACTCAAACCGTAGTTTTATAAGAATTATTCAATAATAGCATGTTCAATTAGTTAACGATATCAACGGTGGCTCAAAAGTGTCGATTGGTTCCATATAAAATATGTTTTCATGATAACATCTTTAATCTTAGAATTGTCTTTATGGTGAAAAAGTATAATAAAACGTGTTCTTCAAAATGATTGATTTTTAATATTTTACTCATTAAAAATGAAATAGTGGACTCCCAAGGGAATCTTACGAAGTGATAAATCGCTTTTGAAATTGACACTTCACTCATTATCTAGGTCTTATGGAGGCTATACAAATTGTAGAATGATTTGCACCCAGGAGTCTCCATTCTCATGCTGGAATCATTTTACTCTGTTTTTGACATGTTGTAGAGTACTGGCGGTAAAATCGAAAAATGATATTTTGACTGGAAGTTTTGTCTATAGAAAGATCTGATACTAGCTAAAATGCACCAATAATTTTATTAGAAACGAGCGTTTCATTCGCGAGATAATAGCGCTTCTTTAACCCTCCGTAGACGTTGTCATTTTGGAACTTCATGGATGTTGTGGAGTCCAGATGGATCCACCCATAAAAAATTGTAACAAATCGATACTTTTGTTTTACTTCAGCTAGTCATTTATGTACTATAAGCCTCTAAATACTCTGTTCATAAATATATGTGTGTCACATTTCATAAAGATAATACAAAGGAATACATTATCGAGAAAAGTTGCCTGACATTGATTTCATTGCAACACAGAAATATAGCTGAAAAAATAATCGATCTAATGCACTCAGTCTATAGAACAGTAGAAATATGCTCGTATATCCACATACATAATTGGTATTATGTATGAAGAGAAGGAATCTGTCTCTTTTTCAACAGCTTTATTTTTATCTTTTTCTTTTTTCCATGATTAAAAAAATCTAAAACAGTAGTTTTCCTGGCACAATGAACGTGTTGTTGTTGTCTGATTTTCCTGGTGGAATGTAGAAGTTTTTAAAATGCTTCTCTTGACATGTCTGGCAAGTGACCATTGTAATGCTTTTAGAATGAGAAAGCTTTAGCAAGACAAAAAATCATACTTATAACACGATGAATGTTCTGGAGTCTATGTGAACCCATTACTGTATTTCTACCTCCTTACAACTATTGCTGATTTCTAGTGAGAATATTATGAGACAACTAAGGATTATAGATTAGAGAAAGAGAATGACTCAAAACAACAAATAGTGACGGACTACTAGAGGAAAAATTATCAGATGGGTCCGCGCGGACTCCACAACATCAACAGAGGGTTAAAGGGCATATATTTTATTTGAAGAACCAGAAAACATCAGATTTTTCAAAAGCTCATCATCTCGATAACGAAACGTTCATTTTCAATGAAATTGTTGGTACGTTATAATCAGTATCAGATCTCTCTATAGACAAAAATTCCAGTCAAAATACCATTTTTCGATTTCACCGCCAGTGCTCTACGGCATGTCAAAAACATAGTAAAATAGCTCAAACGCGAGAATAGAGGCTCATTAGAATGAATTATTGTACAGTTTTCCTAGTTTCAATAAGACCTAGATAATAAGCAAAGTCTTACTTTGAAAGCGATTTAGCATCTCGTGTGGTGCCTTTATAAGTGTGACTCAATTAATCAATTTGCATAGCCAAACCACTTTGAAATTACTTGAAGAATTATTGAATATCTAATATATTAATTAGATATAACAGGTAGTGTCCATTAATTCTGTCATTGAAAGGGAAGAATTCGACGTGGATAATAAAGGTTGCAATTTCAGAATCATTCTTCTTTGACTTCTACCTTTTTTCTTTAGATATACTAATTTTTTAAACAACTTTCGTAAACTATTCTGTTAAGACAATTCTTAATGTACTACATCTTAATCGATCTTTCACTAGGTTTTTTTTAATATTCACTTTATTTTGTTGTCTTAATGATTGTTGACGCAAACGAGAAGAATTTTCATAAGGGTTTTGTTTTGCATTTGTTTAAATATTTCGTCTGAAAGCTCTCAGACTAGTGCATATAATAGAATGATAAGCAATATTTTGTGAATATTTGTGCGATGTTAGCGAATGTGTTCGTTGAACGTCATTACTCATCAGAAAGAGATATCAAAAGGGAAATATGAAAAAGAAAAGAATCGAATTTTTATTCATTGTTTTGTTGTTGCCCTATTATATCTTTTATTTTCCACAATTATTTTGTGGTGCTGAAAGGATTTCTTGTAGATGTAACTTGGGTTCTTCATAAGTTTGTACATTAAACGGTGAATAGAACTGTTGTTGTTTATGCCGATGGGAGATACGACGTTTAACGATTACTACGCATCTTATTAACTGTTATGATCGGTGGTAAATAGCGACCACATAAGAAATAACATCCTATCAATATGATCAGATCTAACATTGCTAGAAGTAGAAAGATTTTCATACGAGTGTTAACTATTGACAATAGTAGTTATTTTCTAGATAGAATTCTTTTCTTTCAAAGATAGAAATAACCCATGTTATCAATTATATCCAGTTAATGTATTAGATATTTAATTAATCATGAATTAATCCCAAAGTAGTTTCGTCATGCAAATTAATTAGTACAATTATACTTACGAAAGAAGGTTCCCAAGTATGATGCGCCGTTTTGAATCGGATCTATACCAGTTATTAGAGCTTGATAAAACTAGACGAGGTCTAACAGAGTTTGTTCCTATACACTGTTCTTCTCGAGTTATGACCGTTTTGCTGAACTTTCCATCTCTGATAAGGTATATATGGAAAAAACAAACCAAGAAATTTCGACCTGAAATCGTGCCCATCGATAAGTCTCATGGTTCTTAGAATAGCTTAAAACTTTCAGGCCAAAAGAATGTTTTCTTCTGCAAAGATTGAGTATCCAAAAAAGCGATCATGTGTCGCGAGGAAAGATCAGAAAAGCGAGTATCTTCAACATTTGATATCTCAAGAGAAAAGCACTCTTTTCGGCTGACATTTTTAGAACATTCTAAGAATCATGAAATCTAGCAATGGGCAAAACTTCAGGTCAAAAACCTGTAATTCGATTTTTCCCTATATACCTTGCTATAAGTCGGAAATTCAGTAAAACAGTCATAATGCGAGAAGGATAGCATATAGAGACAAATCCTTTTAGGCATTGTCTAGTCTCATCGAACTCTACTAACTGGTATAGATCCGATTCAAAACGGCGCGTCACACTTGGGGAACTTTCTTTGTTAGTACGATATTTCATTTTCAATAAGAAGAAAATTAACGATGATTATGCTTTTAAATATAATAAACATTTCTAGACTAATATAAATTTCTTATTAGATAAGCTAGAGGGATCAATCTATAATTATTTTTTAGAATACGTTTTATTGTACTTTTTTCTATAAAGATAAAGCTAAAAGAAAATTTATTAATATGAAAATCTTTATTATACAAAACGAATCAAACCTTTTGGGCTATTTGTTAATTGTTTTTGATGAATATCATTTTTTTTAAAATCTAAATGATCGACATCAAAATATCAAATGACCAATTTTAATATTATCTCTATAGTGAACAATTTGTATGAAACCTAAATAGAATAACGATCGTTATCGAAACATTTAAAACTATTTCGATGTATTTATCGTTTGTCTCGTGTTTTGATCATACATATTTTGAACAAATCTATATAAAAATGTGGACTGACAACAGGTGGTCGTCATATCGAAGAATGAAAAGCGCATGAGTGCTATTCAATACCTTTTTTTTTCTTCCAATACGGTACATTTAGTTGTAGTTCCAATGTATTTGCTTACCTTTCGTTAAAATAATAAATACTGCCTCATTGTCGTTCTTATTTCTAACACGAACTCACGCACAAACATAAAGAGTAATAATAGTAATGTCAGAACATATTCTTCATTTTTTCTTCTTCTTATTCACATACATTTAATTCAAAAGCAAAGGAATGTATAAGAAAAAAAAACCGAAAAATCAGAAGTGAAAGAATTGGCACATAAAACATTAGTCTCTCTTCCTTTCTTTTTTTTTCATTCATGTTGGATGATGCAAAGATGAAGATGATGATGGTGAGTATCGTAAATACCCTAATTCCCTCTCTCTCTTTCTCTCTCTCTCTCTGTCTCTCTGTCTCTCTCTCTTTCTCTCTCTTTCGCTTGCTTTCTTTCAATACTGTCAAGAGGTTCTTATCAAATATGCAGAGAAAAGACATCCACATACCTTCGTGCACGTTTAATCGCGTATTAGAATTCCATTTATATATATATATATATAAATAGGTATGCGCATTAATGAATGATTTACGCTCATTTTAGAAAAAGAAAGAGAGAAAGGGAGTAACAGTAAAGTAATAGTCAGTGTTGATTGAGAAACAAAAACACTCGATTGAAAGAGCAACACAAGGCGCTTTTAAACGAAAAAAAAACGAAGGATGATGCTGTTAAAAAGAGTGAAAAGAAAGCGAAAGAGAGAAGTCAGTTTTATTTTTACTTTTAATTCTTATATGAGAAAAACGAAAACTGAATGTGTACACATTTTGTTTGTCGATTTGAATTAGTGACAAAACAGTAAACTTTATAATGCTCGTGTGATTGCCAGAGGACGTTAAATATACATTATACATCAAAAGGTATGCATTATAGATATTTAAACTACTTTTTTTAGATAATTTAGAAAAAAAAATATATACAATTAACTGTCCATATAAAAAGTTTTATCATCAGGCAAGTAAAGAAATCGTAAAACTGAATTTCTTTCACAAATAAATGACATAAATTACAATTTACGATAAGATGAAAAAAAACCTAGAAAAAAAATACCACACAAAGAGATCTCGTTTTTTATTGATTAAAATATACTTTCGAGTCAGTTACTAGCATCATCAAATTACATTATTCGTGTACGGAGTAAGCCGTCTAGGCGTATAAGTGAGTGAGTTTACGTTCTGTTTGACGATTCTATGTAGGTTTCATGCTATATGAGAATGTGTGAAAACATAACAAACTTGAAAAAAAAAGGAAAGAGCATTGCCTGTTCTTGTTTATCCTTTGCTTTTTCTTCCATTTAAAAACCATCTATGGTTGTTTTAATGTTTTAGGTTTATTGTCGCCAAATTCGTCTTCATTGCTATTTAAACCTTTAAATAGTAATTCAAGGATGACGACAACAACAAAAAATATTCCAACAGACAATTCATTCGGTTTTACATCATCAAAATTACAAACAACATGTAACATTTGCAAACGTCTTTTATATTCATTTGAAGAAATTCTTGTTTGTTAGTGTTGTTTTTTTTAAATTTTTATTATTATTTAATTTGAATATATTTGTGCATTTTTTTTCTACTTTTACCAAGGTCAACTATGCCATAGTGCATATCATTGGCGTTGTGTGAGACCTGAAACGATCTCTCACTATGATGATAGTGCAAATTTTATATGTGACAAATGTAATGATAGTACAGGAATAACAACATCATCATCAACAACAAATCCATCTTCTCGGTTATCAAATGGTGGTATGAAAATCAAATCACCTAATTCATCAGAAATAAATTATCGAGATTTTGCAAGTATACCATCAAAATTAAGTACAACACCAACAAAAGATACGACTGTTGTTAATGCTATTCGATATTTTGAAGAAAAACAACAACAACAGCAACAACAACAACCAAATACAATGTCTCAAACACAGGAATTCAATGAATATCTTTCATCGCAAAAGGATGGTAAAAAAATCGAACTAACTTTACCTTTAAGATATTGTTATGAGTAATATGTCTATTTTTAAATGTTAAATTTTACTCCGAGAACAAAATTCAACAGAGCAAAAAACAAAAGAATCCCTATAAGCTATGCATAAAAAATGATTTCATATTCTTCTATACACAAAATCTATAGACTCATTGAATCAGTAAAAAATTTTCAACTATGCATATTGGCAAATTTTGTTCTTGTATATTAGCCTATAGAAACTTTTATGATTCAACCCATAGGGGATATTACTTACACTAGCAGTAAGAAAAAAGTATTGAAATTCATGCGCATGCATGGTTATGATCATCATGGACGTGTTTAATACATATGAACAAATATAAATCCTTTTCAAATATTCTCCTTCCTTTTCATCTTCTCATTTTCTTTTTTCTTTTTCATCTATAACTTATGTATACTAACATTTTATCACTAATATGCTTCTGTTATTTTGTCTTATTCCTCTATTATCGTTCAGCATTTGTTTTTTATCTATACAGGTCAATATATTGATGGTAGTAAGACAAAACGACAATATCAAGAACAACAAAATCATATAGGAAGTGGCAACGAAAACACAACAACAGCAATGTTTCAAGCTAATTATCAATATACACCACTTAAAGAATATGCTGCATTGAGAAGTGATCCAACGACGAATGGTACTCATACATATGTTTATCAAGGTAAAGATATTAGAGATAAAAGAAATAGTGCTTAGACTTTATAGATGAAATTAAGATAAATTACTTAAAGTTTTCTTTTTTCATACAATAAATAAGATCATCTAATAGAAACCTGTTACTTGAGACATTATACTTTAGGGATGTATTTAAATGTAATACTTAAATAGACACTTATACAAGAATAAATGCAGCTATCACATCAATGAGTAAGAAAATAAAATCGTATTAAGATCTGAAATAAATCTTTCTCTTTTCTAATCAAAATTTTACAATTTATTACTATTGAAGATTTATAAAGCTTGGAATTCTTGAAATTCTTCTCAATAAAAGTACTTGAAGAATATAAAAATTTAACAATCAAATGTTTTCACCAATACATTTGTTAAGAACAAAAGAATATACTAAAACTTCATGACTTTTTCTTTTTTTTTTTTTTTATAGACTCAGCTTAATAAAAAACATTTTCATTGACCTTGTTACTTTTTTTCGTTGTTTTAATCTATTCAGAAAGATTTTAGACTTGTTGATTTCGATCAGATTGAAATTTTCTTTCTTTTAATAATCTTATTCAAATTTCAAAACCTCTTTCAAATATCAATTGATAGTTATTTTATTTAATCTGTTGTTTCTTATAAATGTCTGCTGTTTATTCATATAAAATCAAACTTTATGTAGCTCCACCATCTACTGATACTGATTATCAAGTATCACCTCATTATGGTGTTGGAGATAGTCTAACTTATACAGATGAGGCTTATGAACCAACAAAATCTCATCCTTATGGATCTGCATTAAATAATTCAACATCTTATACAAGCCCAACTAGTGATAATTTAGCTGTTCATAGTCGCCAACAACATTTTAGTAGTACTACTAATTTAAATGTAAATGGTACATTATCTCGTCGTCAACAACAACAAAATATTCCTAAAAGTTCTTTTACTCAATCAACACCTTATTTATCGCAAATTCGTGATGATGATCCATCAACATTTAAATCTTCATGTCAACAAAAAGATCAACAACGATATCCAGATCGTCATTCAATTATTGGAAGTGATTCAGGTATTGTTATTGTTCATGAAAATCAACCACGTCGAAAAACAGATGATAATCAAATAGTTGAAAAAAAATTAACAAATTTAGTTCAAAAATTAGGACGACAATTAGAAAATGATACACAACATTTAAGTGAAAAATTAGAATCAAAATTAAAAAATTTAGAACATATGATAAATCAACAAACATTTGTTATTCGAGAACAAGATGGAGTTATTGAACATTTAAAAACTAAAATATCTAAAATTGAAACAGAACGTGATACTTTTCGAGACCGTTTATCTGTTCGTGAACACGATGATAAAAAAAATCAAATAACAACAGAAATAGATAAACCACCATGTATGAAATAGTACAACTAAAGTTTTATATATTTTTTTGTTTTACTCTTGTTTTTTTTTTGTTTAGATTATAAAACATTTGAACAGGATGATGAACAACAAACATTAGATGATGCTTCGACGAATAGAAAATTTTCCAATTCATCATCAGTTACGACAGATCAAAGCAAACGATCGAGTAAAAAGGTTCATAGAAAACGAAAAAAAATCAAATCTTAAAATTTTTATTAACAAAATCGAAGAGAAAATTATTGAGGAATATCAGTGTTAGTCATATCTAATATCCATAAAAATCATGACTATTGACGAAAGATTTTCGAATATATTTACCAGAGCTTGCAATAAACTGAACCTATGAAAGTCAGCTCATGACCTGTAGAATCCGGCAGGACCAAACTTTTTGGATCCGATTGAATCGTACTTTGACACTCGCAATGAAATCTTCTAATCGGAATTGGATAGTCGCTCCGAAAATGTAAGATACTTTTTTCTGAGTTTTTGTATTCAGTGACTAGCGCTTTCCGAGCCAAAAATTTTCAGGCTCGAATCCAGAGTGTCACTCAGATTTGTTCCTAATTTCAAAGAAATATCACAAATGAGGCAATTAGAAACAAATTCTAGGTAGACCGGACTCGGGATCAATCTGACGTATTCCAATGAACTGATCATCTAGCTACATATTTTTCTTCAAGATAGTTTAGCTTGTCATGCTAATGGTTTTTATTTCCAAAAACTTTTGGCTGATGAAGTTGACTAAATCTATTGAGACCTTCTGTGATACTTGCTTAACTTCAAACTAGAGATGTTCATCACGGCTGGAGATCTGCTGCTGTCTCGATAGGATTTTTGAAACGTCTCCACGCCGCGGTAGTTTTATAAAACAAGTGCCGTTGATGCCGGCGTAGACATCTCTGCTTCAAACTAGTAGTTGAGACAAGGATGCTGTAGTAGCATGATACTTTGAAAGATAAGGGCGAAAACACGACAGCTTCATTGTTTACTTTTTCAAATTTTATCTTAAGATTGATTAGAACATGTTAATCTTTCTTAATTCGAAGATCCAAACGACTAAGTCCAATATACAACTGAGTCTCTTTTAATTCGATTATATCTTTTCGGATACGAAACTAATCTATCAAGTCAAATGCTGATTTTAGTCTTCAATCGGTAGTAATTAGAAAAATAAGCAAAGAAATAATTGAACTAATTCGAGTTACTAATATGAATCGTTGAAGAAATTTTATCAATGTATAACGAAAGAAAAGTCTTGATCATTTGTTTGTCTAAAATCAATCATTGACAGTCACATCAAGTTTATGTAGAATCCTATTTATATTATAACCATATATAAATTTCATCAAAAAAAAAATATCTAAATTGTTCTACTTTTCAGCTTCCTGCTCCACGAATCGATCGTAATGAATCATTTGTTACTAATGAAGATGAATCAACTATTGCTAAACTTATTAATAGTAATTTTTTTTTTTTTGTTTCATAAATATAAAAACTAGTTTTCAAATCTTTTTTTCTGTTACAGCTTTTCCAAGTAATCCAGAACCTAGTGTAACGGATTCTTCAAATTCATCAGTGGCTGCTTTATTAGTTGGAGCTGTGCCTTTAATAGAAAATCCACCTGCAGCTAATCGACTTGATACTATAATTCGTCAAACAAGTACAGATGATACAACTCAACCAACACCATTATATTATAATCAAATTGATAATTATCCTTATGATTTCAAACAATCTACTGACCGAACTACACCGGAACCAGAAGAATTATTTACAAATGTTCGTGATGATGATGAACAAATCGGACGAATAATAACATCTGGTATGCAACTTAATCGATTATCTTCATCCTTACCATCATCTGCTTCAACATCAATACAGACTGAGATAGATAATTTAACATCAACAAATAATTATACATTACCTACTAAAAATTCTAATATACATCGAAGTTTGGACTTAATACCACGTAAAACACCTCCAAATGAAGAAGAATTAAGACCAGCGACTAAAACAACTTCATTAGAATTATATCAAAAACCGGTGCCATATGATGAACCAGCTTTAGTCTTTTTGACACCACAAGAACCAACTCATGCAGCTTCACAATATCAAAATGTTATTAAAGGATGGCTTCGAAAACAAAATCGAGGTAAAATATAATCAAAATTCGAAATAAAAGAAAAAAAAATTATTCTATTAACAATAGCTTCAATTCTTAAACGAGTTGAACGTTATTATTGTGTTTTATGGAACGATACAATTTTAATGCATAAACAAGAAAATGATAGAGCTCCAAAGAAAAGAGTAATTCTTAAAGGTAAAAACAAAATTATTTTTTCAGAAATAATTATTTTTATTATCATTTTATGATTATATAGGAGCAAAAGTACATCAATATGATGATCAAAAATATGGACCATCGCTTGAATTAACTTGGTCACCTCAAGCCAATCGTACCAAACGTTATCATGTAAATTATACAAGAAAAAATTTTTTTCTAAATTTTTTAATTATTTTAAAAAAGATTCTGTTACATCTTAATTCCTTGAAGGATAGGCGTAGCTATTGATTTAGAAGTTTTGTTATTTAAAAAGAACACAATTTAACAAATGAATGAAATTCGAGATGATATTGTCTCAATAGACTAATTAAACAAGTATTCAGAAGCATTTAAAACTCAAGTATTCGAAAGAGTCTTTGACAGACTGGTAGTAGAACATTCGACCACATAATGTAAATCAATTACTTTCTCTATAAGATTGATTAAGAAGTAAATTAAGATGTGTCCTAACATCATAATGTTATAAAGTTTAGTTTTCCGATCTTTTGACTGAACGATAATTGAACAAAACAAAGCTCATGATAAGATACATCAACTAGTCCTATAGTTTCTTATTTGCCTTACAAGTAACTCAAATGAAACGATACGATTATGAATCAATGAAATATTTACTAATATAAAAAAATAATATTTGTATTTAGCTATACTTCATTAATCAACATGAAGCTCAACAATGGTTAATTGGGATTCAAAATGCTATGGACAGTCTATCAGACAGTAAGAGGTATTTGTATTTCATCAAATAATTTAAAAAAAACATTGCTTTTTTCTTCGCTGATGCTTCTCAATCAAAAAATAAACAGTTTTCTACGTAGAAACTGCATATCATTAAACTACGCAATGTTTTTACAAGTAATACACCGATCAAGCTGATCTTTTGTCAGAGTTGTCCATTGTGACAACGGCAAGTTTTTTTCTGAAGGACGTTGCAAAACTACATGAATTTACACGAAATTTTACTGCCTACAAATATAACAACTCGAGACTCGATGAACCAGTGATGTTCATTGCGGCTGAAACTTTACCACGATGATTTTCGAGAAATCTCTTCCGTCATTGTGCTGAATTAGCACAGTTAGATTGAATTCATCAGATTGTGGCTGTTGAGCTTATAGGCACTCAAATCGAGTACAAATTCATGCAATTTTACAATCCCCCTAAAAACGAAATTGCCGCTATCGTGATAATATTTTTGAAACATCTTCTGCCCTGCAGTAGCTTTTAAAAGAAGTGCTGTTGACGTTGCCATAGACATCTCTGTGATAAATCTCATGGATTAATAACATTAATTCAACTGTAATATAACAGTGCGGCAAATTTTCAATCGCAATGAACATCTCTATCTTTGTCTACTAATAAGACTCGATAAGATTGGAAGAAAGCCTACAAGAATTCGTGTTCATGCCATATTTATTTGAAATTAGGATCAATTTACTGAGTTTGCATTGTCTGAGTATAGTAGTTATACAAGACTATCTTAAAAATTATACACCTAATATTTTGCCGATAGATAAATTTCAAGGTCGCTAGAATGTCATAAAAACTATAATTCAAACGTATATTTTTGTCTAGAATCGAGATCTATTTATGAGCAAAGTTTCAGAATAATAATCTGTCATATGATCTTTTATGAATTACCATCTTACTAGTCTTATCGGATCATAATGATGAAGAAATTATCAGCTTGATCGGTGTATTACATATTTATTTATTGAAATTTAATTTCTTTGCTTAATAAAAAATAATAAATCAAACATATTTGTTAAGTTTTATTTATTTTCTAGACAATAGATGGCAACAATATCGTATAACTATATAATTAACAATATCAAGAAATCATTTTTCTCCCGTCCATAATATGACTTTGTTTTTTTCTTCTTTCTTCTTTTTTTTTTTTGTTTTTCTAATATATACGCTAATTTTGTTTGTTCCTATTTGCTAATCATACATACTTATTTATACTTTTCTTTTTGCTCTTTATATAAATTGAATAAAATGTATTTTACAAATAAATAAATGCTTAATTAATTTTATTCTTTATCAAAAAGAAATTTTTGTGAACAATAGAACATGAAATCATTATCTAGCCTGATCAGACATGGGAAGGAGTTCGAACTTAAAAGAGAACAATCGATAGTTTTTGAAATACAAGCGTTTCCATTTCTGAGTAGCATTAAGTAATTCGAAAATTTTTGTAAACGATGATAGTGAAATATATCGTTAAACGAAGATCGATCATTAGAAAAATAATTTTTCATTGAATACGAAATACTCTTTCAACATATGATTTTTGTACAAATATTTGATGTTTACGAATGAAGATAATGCTTTTAAAAATCGCCTCTATTCTCACAACAAAAACGATGTCTCCAAATAGAATTCAACAAGCTTTGCCCAAAAACATCCATTTTGAGCACAGTTTGATTTAATATTTTCGCATCTGTTTTCTAGAAATACTGAATAACGGAATTTTATTAGGATCTGAATTTGGTAGTGTTTTTTGATCATTAAGCGTTTTGTGTTGATTTTATTCATAAGTATGCACATATTTAGGGATTAATATGAAATTTTGAATAAAATCGAGTAATTAGTTAATCAAATCTTCAACTTCTATTTTTTCTTGGGCGGAAAAAGTTGAAGAATTTTTTTCGTTGGATTCTAATGAAAGATACATCGTTTGATGCAGAATCCGATGCTAGTGATAAATATTTGGTTGCTTCTTATATTTTTTTTGCTTTCGCTCTGATCCAAACCATGATTTTCGAAAAAACTATGAAATTCTGTAACGAACACTGTTTTTAGTTTATTGTTCGAGGCAGTTATTATTATTAAGAAATAATCTGATATTCTAAAAGCTTGTTAAAAATCTGAAATTCCGTAACAGTCGGTATTCTCTAAATAGTTCAGCTGTAGCAAAATGAAAATGAATGAAATTTTTACCGATAGCGGATCTAAGTGGTTTCTATTTATAATAAAAGTTTCAAAGAATTTGCTTTTGCTATTGACAAGAAATTAATATTACAATGTAAAAAAAAACGAAATTCCCTAACGTTTGATCACATCAGTATCTAATCAAAAATATCTTTATTCATGCATAGAATCTGAGATTGTCAACATAACTTTCACAAGACTATTGTATTGGTGTAAACCTGATAGTTTATAAAATTGTTTGACTTACACATTCAAAATATACTGACATTGAAAATCAAATGAATCTTAGACTCTTTTAAGCGAATTAGAACTGTAGAAAAGTTTTTAATCAAGTATTAAATAAATTCATTAAATAATTATCATAAATTAGAACTAACAAGATTATCTAACAAAGGAAATCTTCTAAATGATTAATCGCTTTTGAGTCAAGACTATGTAGATATAAATGATTTATGAATACCTTGAAAAGAATTCGTGTCCTTAGCTTATTGCTGTATAGATAATACACTATTACGGTATGTTTAAAATGAATGTCATGGTCTCTCTCAGAAAAACTGATTTTCCAATTTCGAGTTGAAACTTTTCATTGAGACAGACGTCAACGAGAATAG